CAAGAAGGAATTTAGCTTTCCACTTGTGAAATTCCTACTGCGCATTCTCATGACATAGATGGGAAATTTTACATTAGGATTGTAACCACTTGTGAACTTGCTATGTTTTGTAAAGTGGAACACGGTTTACAAAACTGAGTTTAATAGGTATTCCTATTATAAATGACAGTTACAACCTGAGCCAAGTGCTTATTAGAATTTGTCACTCCTGATGAGCTACTTGATGTTAAAAGCTACTGCAAACTTTTCATTAAAGCATTGTTAACTCCGCTAGAGATGCAGTGTGTCATAGTTTTGCTGCTCAGAAAAAGGGACTGTTTCTGGAACAAGTGCAATTACTTGATAAGCTGATGTCAACTTCGGTTATTTCCTGGTAGTTTTCAAACCAGAGGAACTACGGCAAGCTCTTATGCCCACACTTGAAGCATTGTATCGTCAGGACCCAGAATCATTGCCATTCCGGCAACCTGTGGATCCTTCACTTTTAGGAATTCCAGTAAGTACAATAATCGCAGCTAAATTTTGTCTAATTGAGAAAGTAACCACAGACAATTTTCACTGAATTGAATTCAAAGCATTTTGACTTGTTAAATGTTTTTATGACAGTAATGGGTTTTCTGCAGCACAATTTAACAAGATCGTTTTATTTATCCATGAGATATGGAGGACACTGGCTAGAGGCTTGAAGGAGATGGCTGCCAACCAAATGATGAGTTGACCGAGCGAGTCTGCAGAGAGATATAGACAGGTTAAATGAGTGGACAAAAACTTGGCAGATGCATTTATTGTGGGGAAGTGTGAGATTATGCACTCGAGCTAGAATAGAAGAACTAAATATGATTTCAGTGGAGAAACACTGTAGAAAGCAATGGAACAGAGATTTAGGAACCTTCATCCATGAATCACAAAAAGTTAACACACGATCCAAAGAGAAATAGAGAAGGCAAATGGGATGTTGGCCTTTATTTCAAATGGAATAGAGTATAAATGTAGGGGAGGTTTACTAAAACTATACAATGCATTAGTCAGACCACAGCTAGAATTCTGTAAACCATTTTGGGCCCCTTATCTAAAGAAAAATATACTGGCATTGGAGGCAGTCCAGAGAATATTCACTCAGCTGATACCAGGAATGGAGGGACTGTCTTATGAAGAGAAGTTGAGAAGGTTGGGCTTGTACTCATTAGAATATAGACGAATGAGAGGCAACTTTATGGAAACATGCGTTGTTATTATGGTGCTTGTCAGAGTTGATTCTGAAAGGTTGTTTCCCCTTGTGGAAGAGTCTTAATAACAAAAAGCATAATCTCAGAAGGGTTCATATCATTAAGATGGAAATGAGAAGGAAATTCTTCTCTGAGGATTGTGAATTTGTAGAATGTTTTTTACTGCAGAAGACTGTCAAGGCTGTGTTATTAACTATATTCAAAGCTGGGTTGTTATCTACATTCAAGGCTGATATAAACTTTTAATCAGTAAAAGAATCAAGGATTATGGGGAAAAGGCAAGAATGCAGTTGAGGATAATCAGATCAGCCATCAAATGGCAGAGCAGATTCAAGGGGCTGAATGGTCTACTTCTGGTCCTATTCAAGAAAGGAGGGAGACAAAATGCTACAAACTCTAGGGCACTTAACATCTGTTGTTGGGAAAATGCTCGAATTTGTTACAGAGATCAGTGGATATTTGGGAAAATCATAATATTGTCAGGCAGAGTCAATATATCTGTGTGAAAAGGAATCTGACAAATTTATTAAAGTTTTTTGAGCATGTAACAAGGGTTGAAAGGGGGGAATGGATGTACTGTATTTGGATTTACAAATTTGATAAGGTGCCACTCAAATGGTTACCACAAAAGACTGGAGGTCCTAGTGTTTGTGTGATATAGTAACATGGATAAATGATTGATTGACTAACACAATTCAAATCAGGATAAATAGGTCATTTTCATGTTAGTGCACAGTAAGAAATGGACTGCTACAAGGATTAGTGCTGGTTCTTCAACAATTTCAGTCTATATTAATGTCATGGTGAAGGGACCTACGTTATTGTAGCCACATTTACTGATGATAGAATGATAGTTAGGAAGGCAAGTTGTGAAGAAGGTACAAAGAGTCTGCAGAATTTTGGCAGATGAAATAAAACGTATGGTTGTCCAATTTGATGAGAAGAATTGAAAAGGAAAAGTAAAATTTATTTAAATGAAGGGAGACTGCAAAATACTTTGGTACAGAGAGATCTTGGTGTCCCTGTACGTGTACCTGTATCACAAAATAGCAAGTAATTTGGAAGGTAAATGCATTGTTGACCTTTATTGCAAGCAGTTTGGTGTATAAAACTAGAGAAGTTTTATTGTAAGTGTACAGTGTGATACTGCTGAGACTGAACCAAGATATAGCTTTAGTCCCCTTACATGAAGAATGTATTTGCTTAGGATGAAACTCTGAAGACTCAGTTGACTTATTTCTTGGATTTAAAGGTTATCTTACAAGGAAAGGTTGAATAGATTGGACCGGTATCTTTGAAGTTTAGAAAATAGGAGGTGATCTTGCTAAAAATATGTAAGAATCTGAAGGGGCTAAACAAGATATATGCTGAAAATGCTGAGCTTTTGTGGGGAATATAGAGCTGGGGACACAGTTTAGAAATAAGAGGCCTCCATTTTATGTTGATGGTTAACTATAATTTGTGTCTCGGAAGATCATTGGCCACTGGAACTCTGTTCTCTAGAAAGCAGTAGATGCTAAGTAACTATATATATTTAAGGCTGAGGCAAACAGAATTTTGATTGACAAGGGAGTTCAGGGTTATGGGGGTCATTGCAGGAATGTGGAATTAAGACCAAAATCACATCATCATGATTTTATTGAATGGCAAAAGAAATGGCCTACTTCAATTTCCCCAATTCCTCCTATTTCTACAAATCTTAATTTTGCTTCAGGTACATGATTGGAATACTGAGGCCATCAAGAATATTTGATGCATGCAATTTTCCTGTGTCATTAAGGATCAAAAAACTGCAAATTTTTATAAACATTTTATTCAGTCCTGATTTTTAAACAATGATTAACAGTTTCTTAGTTTTTTCTTGCCATCATATTTCTCTCAAGCTGAAAAATAAATATGATGTTGTAGGCTTTGATTTGAAATTTCTGTTGGGCACTGTAGAGCATTACAATTTCAGTTATTCAGTGTTTGTTTCATTTTCCCCACTCCCACAATGTGCAAAGGACTATTTTGACATAGTGAAAAGCCCCATGGATCTATCAACAATAAAACGCAAGCTGGACACTGGACAATATCAGGAGCCGTGGCAGTATGTGGAAGATGTATGGTTAATGTTCAATAATGCATGGTTGTACAACCGCAAGACTTCACGTGTATATAAATACTGTACAAAATTGGCTGAGGTCTTTGAGTTGGAGATTGATCCAGTCATGCAGTCTCTTGGCTACTGTTGTGGACGGAAGGTAAGATTCAATATAAAAAATGAAAATGATTTCTGTTGAAATAAAAATTTATTAAACTGTAACTGAAAGAATATAGTTGATATAAAATTTCACCCACTTTTGATATGCTTCTTCACTTATTGATGTAACGTGCTATTATATTTCATTTTCATTCCAACTGTGAAGTAGGCATATTCAAGAATCACCAGATAGGAGTGTGGGTTTGCAGAAACCAGTATTTCTTTGCCAACAACGGGAAGTACTGAATGAAATTTGTGTAATGTTTTCTCTATCTTCTTATCTTCTCCCAACTTGTTTCCCTTTGCTTTTTCTATTAGTCACTTCTGTTGACTGCTTGTCTCTAAAGATTAAAGCAATGGGATAAATTTGACTGAGCAGTTTTTTCACTAAGCAGAGGTCTCCAATGCAAGTAGAAATTATTTAAAAATAGGAAATGGGGATTTTCACCAGTTATAATGGGATTGTGTCTTTAATTGCCAATGAAGACAATGAATTGATTGTTTAAATACTTGCAAGATAACTA